CGAACAGGGTTCTCCGCCAAAAGAGGAGAGAGAGAGACAGCCCAGGCAGGGGAGCGCCGTTCCTGGGCGTTCCCCTTGGCAAGCCTTGTTGTGCCTTGTGCCTTGCGTCCCTGGCTCCTTTTCTCTCTCTCCCCTCCGAGTGACCCTGGAGTTGGTCTTTGGATGTTTGCACAAACCAGGCACAAAGGGGCCCGACGCACAAAACATTCCGTACAGTACGTACCTGCATGAGAAACGAAGCGGAGGGTGGGCTAATGCAGGAACATAAACTGGGCTGGTGGGCACTATTTCCAAAATGGTCAGCCTCTGGGATACACACAATGTACGTACTCCTTTTCTCCGCGCAAATCATCTTCACAACTTCCCCTTTTCAGTCTCTTGCTGTCAATCTTTTTCCATTTCACGAACCGTCCATTACGGCTTAATTTCCCGCGAAGCTGCCAGAATAATGGGAGAACCACTCGTCAACGTCCATCCATGGAGCCTCGTGGTAAATCATCCCCGCTATTCTTGTTCGTCTTCGGACTGAGCGCTTGGGAGAGAAACGATCCATCCGACTTGTTGGCCAACGTCGGCGGGAAAACAGACACCACAGCATGCACCTGCGGTCCCGGCTACATGCACACTGAGCCGCGGAAGCCAACGCAGAGGCGCAGATACCGCAACATGAGAACCAGGGAAGACGAGCCCCCCTGCCACCAAGCCCTCCGCCCCTGTCCATCCCTGGATGGGTTTTTGCGAAAATCCTCCGCGGCATCATCCAGCGTTGCGAGATCAGCGTTGTCAACACGTCAGAATCACGGACCATCGCGCCCACTGACCGTGTCCCTTCAAGCTCAAAAAGCCAATCTCAATCTCCAGTTCGTCTCGTTAGACTGTCCCGGCACTTCTTGATGCCGCCTGAACCGGCTTAGCCCCGACCGCCACGCCCATCCCGCCGATGTCTGTGTTTTTTTTTTGACGTTTTGCTTCTGGGACTCCATATCGTGAGTCTGGATTCCGTGGCAGCCATGCCATTGCCACGCCTAGATGGCCGCCACTCGGGCGAACAGTAACGCTACTGCGGTGGCTCTCTACTTTAAGTTGTTTTGTGCTTGGGGGTCGGGGATGGCGTCGGTTCAGGAAATTCATGAGCGTACCAGCCATGTCCATCGTCTTGTTGGCTCCTCGACAGACGGATATTAGCCAGGAACCAAGGTCAAGGAACCCCTCATCGGCGACCCAGAACAAAGAAGAGCCGTTTCAACGCCGGAAAAGCATCGCAAATTGTCTCTCAGAGATATCCATGTCGGACTTATCAGCAGCGTACCAGCCGGCCCCACGAGGAAGCCAAGGGCTCCAGCGTGCTGCTAATCGCGCGTTTCACAATTGTGGACGCACCAGATCGTCTGATGCTCCCTCAAGGGCTCCAACGTCTCTCCCATGTCGAATGACCCTTATGACGTCTTGTTATGCCTGCTCTTGGGCTGCTTGACCGACGGCCGGCCGAACGTGTTTGATTGCCGGCATGACTTGGACGTCGACGGCTACTTTCCGCCAGTCGTCTGAGGACCACAGACAGCCAGGTTCGTTGACAGGAGCAATGATAACCTTATTCAGCCGCGATTCAGGACTGCCAGCGCCGGCACCATCACGGCTTGCGGTAGTGTTGCCCCGAGGCCACGCCGTCGACCGCCTCCGTCTGTCCTCCGTGTTCTTGGCAGCGGCCTGATCGGATCGGCTGTCCAGCGTAATTTGACATCGTCGACCATGCTGCCACTGGCCGCCTGCCCAGACCATGTCCAATCTCTTGGCTGTGAGACCTGCAGACACCGCCAGCAAGACCGCCACTTCTTCACATGGAATGCAATTTCTGTACGCCATTGACGCCAACCGAGAGGCCCGTTGGCGCAACAGAGCAGAGAAGCTTTTGCGTACCCCTTGGCCGGCGCGTTTGCTCTGGCCCGGCGGGTCTTGGCAAACAATGGATCTCGTTTGTCGCATTGTTCCCTTTTCAGTCTTCATCTCACCGACAATTCTTAATGACAATCGTCCCCTAAAACCTCCGATCACGCGGCGGGACTGACAGAGTTGTGGAGTTTAATGAACCATGCAGCTCCCGTCTCTCAGGAAGCTCGGCGCCACACCAGCCTGCAGATCACACAGCCGATTTCTCCATACTCTGGACATCAGCGTCCCGTTTGGGAAATCTACCATCGGAAGCCGTGCGACTGGCTGGGATCGAGTTGGATGTCTGCTGTGGGATATTTGACGGTGCTTCTGTCTGTCTATTCTAGGTAAGTGGAAATCTGACCCGCCCTCTCGGTCCAATGCGCGGCGCCAAACCTCGTTGTGCCTGAGGAGGGGGGAAAGAGAGTGTGTGAAAGCAATCTGACCATACGAAAAGCAAATCTCGGACAATTTTTTGGGGTCAGTCAGCCATCCCCGCAAAAGGAGCCCATTCCGCGCCGCTTCAAGAGGCAGGTCTTTCGTCGGGTCAAGATGGCCTCGGCCAACCCCAGACTTGGATGCCCGCATAAGCCAACATGCACGCCTCAGGGGTACGATGAAGCTCAGAAGGCTGTTCGCGCCGCAAGATGTTAGCGACCATTCCCTCAGAACTTGTTCTCAATGTTGGTGGCTGAATGGACGAAGGATCTCGCCCGGCTGGATTCCCATTCCCTTTTTGTCGACAAATTGGATTACTACGGGAAATCGCCTACATTATTGGCTCGAAGCGCGTTCTGTTTTGCCACGCCCGGACTCGACTGCCCGTGATACCGGATGACAGCAGACCAAGGAACTGCTTGACGCGCCCGATACGTTGCTTGAGGTTCTGCATTCATCTTTTCGAGGTGGCCTGGCCAAGAGAGCAGCAACGAAACTCGAGCCAATCTGCCATTGTTTTGCGCATACAGACCACCGAGTATCGAACGATTTGGGCTCTTGCCGATGCTTCGTCTTGAGATCATCCCCGGTCCTCATCTCACAGACCAGAAAACGCCCGGTACCGCGATACTTTTCACAAGACATGTATCCCAAGGGTCTCCCAAACCTATTGCTCCGACTGATGCTCCGAGAGACATTCTGGTCCCTTGAAATCAACAGACAGGTCTCAGCGACGCTGCCAGGCTCTCATGGGGATCAGCAACTACCGTCCTGCCCTTGGTTTGAATGGTAATACACATGAGCATGTTGATGTTTTACTGCAGGTCTCACGGCAAATGAGTGTGTGGTGCAACACACGTTTCGACTAAACGTACAATACGGCAGGGTCCGGCCTCGGAACAGCGTCCAGCTGGTTCAGCAACACGCGTCGTGTCTCAAGCACACGGCATGCCAGCGAGACATCTTGGCTGCGGCCCGTCGCTAGCTCTTGTCTATCTCGCGGTTCGACATACGCGTGGTCCTGCTCAATACGAGACAGTCCATATGAACACCGCGGCGAATCGGCCGAGTCTGACGGACACCTCCCTTCAGAGATATTGATGATTTTCTTGGCTATCGTATCACTATCCTCCCTTTTTACCAGCAGATGACAGACATGAGCACCGCTCACAGCCTCGCTGCAGTATTGTCGACCTACGGCTAGCGGAACCGAACTCGAGCGTGGGAAGCGTCCAGGACTCCGTTGCGAGTGACCTCCCGAAGTCCAGAATTTGGCATCTGAGAGGCGTCTGAGGACCGCTTCTGATATGACGAATCAAGTGGGCACCCATTGCCGCTACTTTGCCATCGCGATGAGACACAGCTGAGCCCTGACTACTGCCTGTCGAGCAAACGCTTGATACAGCTCTCGATATGGCCTTCGGTGGTAGGCTCAGATGGACGGGACTACCAAGACCAATGTCGGGGATACCAGGCCGCAAAATTCGGACATTGTACCGACTGAGTAGAGAAGCCGGCGGTGAGTCTTGGTCTTCTCCAGACGTAGCGGTTCCTCGGTACGTTCACTCCAAGAAACTGTCGTTGGCATGAGCACATTCTCTACGACAGTGTCCACTCCCACACTGAAGATCTTGCCTCCACGGAGTCGTTTTCGTGCTCTCCGAGCAGACCACATAGGTTTATGACTTCTGGTGAGTCAGTTGTGGCCGTGTAAATTGACTTCGTGGTTTCTTGAGCGAAGAACCCTTTATACCTCGCCATGGTGACGTGCCCGAAACGGTCATACACAACTAGTCACGTCTTGACTACAGGAAAACGGCGCTATCAATAGTGACAGACGCAGGATAATACATGGCATAAGTCCTCTCGCAACTGAAAACATTGGTGTCAATGTATGCCTGTTTCCTCAGCTACTGAGGTTCCCCATGATTACAGAGATCATGATCACTCGTGCCCCATTCCTTGAAACTCCAGTCTCCAGGCTGTGAGATCAGAGATAGCCAATCTGGTATCTCGATGGTCCCCTCCAAGCAAATGCTTTTACGTATCCACTCTAGGTCATGCACACTAATTAGTATGTCAGAGTCCGTCTCTCCAACCACTCCATTTCCCATTTCTACCGCTCGCATATACGACTCTTTAGCCTTTTCCCATCGGCCCTGGTTAGCAGCTAGAACTCCCATTTCGTTTATACTTGCTATCGTATCTGGATCTTCCTCTCCAAGTACTCGCTTCTGTATGGCCACCACCTGCGCTTGCAAATCTAAAGCCTCCTCCAGTATACCTTGCTTCTTATATACCGATACTAGATATCTCGAGCTTCTTATCGTCGAAGGATGACTCTCTCCTGGTACCTTTCTCCTAGCGTTCACTACTTGTTTCAGAAGTTTCTCAGCTTCTTCCCACCGCATTTGGCCGTCATAAATTGATGCCAAGTCTTCCATGCTCATCAGTGTGTCTGGATGCTCCTCTCCAAGTTCCTTCGAGCTTATATCTCTCACCCGCTCAGCTAGCGCTACAGCCTCCCCCCACCGCCCTTGACTTGTGTATGTTATCGCAACACCGCTCATAGCACGAAGCGTCACCGGATGCTTTTCCCCAAATACACTCGAGCTTGCCTCCGTTACCTGCAACTATAGCTCCTGTGCCTCTGCCCACCGCTCTTGACAACCGTATATTGCTGCTAGGTTGCCCATACTACCATACGTGCCAGGATGAGCCACACCAAGCACGGTTTGACTCGTCTCCATCACTTGCACCTGTAGCTCCTCAGCCTCCTTCCACCGCCCCTGTCCATGATACGTTAACGCCAGGAGGGTCATGCTCGCCAGCGTGGAGGGATGTTGCCGACCTGGGCCTTCCATGCGAATGCTGGTGGCGTCTTGTGCTATCACCTCCGCTCGAGAGTAGTCGCCAAGCATATACAAGTAGTAGGCAACATTCGTCGCTAATCGGCTCCATTCCAACCGGTCGTCTTCTTCTGAAGGTTTTTGATTGAGCAGTGGTTGTAAATGGGGAACTAACATTTGACACTGCTCCCATGTTTCCAAGACGCCCGATGAAAAGTGTTGTGATGCCGATTTGAGGAAGCGTCTCTTCCACAGCTCTGGGCGACCAAATTGCCGAATCCAGGCCTGTATACAAAATTGTACTAGCGGGTGCATCTCACAGAACCCCGCTGTAGCTGTTATCGCGACGAGAGAGTAACCCTGTAGCACCTCCAAGTCGTCCTCCAAATCTCCATCGTCGTTGTCGCCGCTCTCTTCAATACTCGAGACGTCGCTGGCATAGTGGTGCAACATGTACTCTGGAATGTTCTGTGCCTGGAAGCAGCTCATCAACGACAGGAGATCGGCCGCCCGGGGCTGCTCTTTCTTAATCTGCTCGAACGTCAACTGCCACGTCAGAATGACAGAATTAGACACACCAGGGTACCGTCGGGCATCCCCTCTGTCGCTACGCAGCAAAGCGTCTTTCCGCTTGTCACTCCTTTGGAGTTCGTCCAGGTATGATTGTATGGTCGACCGGCTTCGTCTGTGTATGTACGCCGCTGCTTGATTCAAGGCGAGGGGAATGTGGTCGAGGAAATCAGCCAGGCGCAATGCGGCGATTTCGTCAATATCGTGGCCAAGTTTCTTTTGGAGTAGCTGCAGTGCATGCAACGTCTCCATTTTCAAAACTCTCAGGATCATCTTGCCATTATCCGTAAGCTTCTCTGCAGCGTCCCAGCTGCGCGACGTCACCAGGATCTTGCCATTGCCTGTCTTTGGAAGATACGACGCTATTGGCATCGACTCATCGTTTTGATCATTCGTCTTGGTGAGCATCTCAACATCGTCGGCATTGTCGACAATCATCAGCCACCGGCCCACGTCCTCTCTCTGCAGCCAGTCGCGGAGCAGCGCTGGGACGTTGACACCAGGGTCGTGGCGATCAGGGAGCTCCAGAGCTTCTGCTACAGAACGGTAAGAGTCTTGAAAGGTCGCTCTCGTGCTGGCATTGACCCAGAAGATGCTTGTGTGGGGGGACGTATCGTGGACTTGGTGAGCGAATTGTATGGCAACCTGGGACTTGCTGTAGCTTTGTCAATATAGTCCTCTGATAACAGCCGGTGCGACATACCCGAATCCACCGAGGCCCACGAGAGCAAAGCATATTTCAGATCCGGCGTATCGCGTTTCAATCCATGACCAGATGTCAGGCCGGTTTACAAAATCGGAGTCGCGGCGGAATGGCACAACAAATTGTGCCTGCTCTTAGTTCACAGTCAGATAGAATCAAATGAGTTGGGTTTTGCCAAACTAACTGGAATTGGGGATGGGCTTCTCAGCCTCGACAGTGTCTGGCGCAATCTGGTATAAAAGATCCTTGGCATAAGCTGCCGCCATCATGGCCGCAAAGCCCTGCCACTCCTTGTTCTTATGCGAGTCGGAGTAATCGCATATCCCCCGGATGACAAGGCACGGAAAGTGGTTCATCAGACCAGCAGCCTCCATCTCGAAGCATAGAACGTCCTTCTCTTTTATCAATATGTCCCGGATATACGCGTCCTTCATTAGCTGGTTACCGCTAGCAATCAAGCCGTAGTGAATAGCAGGATTGTCATCTTCTTCGCCTCGTTCAGGGCGGGCTATGAGACTGGCGGTATCATCGCCGCATACGTCATCGCAGCAGCTTGAAGGATGTACAATGTTAGACTTATACAGCCTATCGCTTGCTTGAGCAGGTTGTCTGTATGCGCTCTTCTTCTTGATCTTCCCGATATTCTTGTCCACTTGGTCGATAAGCCGGTGGCCTTTCATTTCATATTTGCCCTTAAGTGTAGTAAGGGCTGAAAGCAGCAGCAAGGGCGGCTGGTTCAAGAACCCTATGTCTTGGAACTTGCAATTCTGCATGGTTTTGCCAAAGTCGTACTGGAACACGCCTCCTCGTCCACTATTTGGGGTACTGACGACCACATCACCGAGCCGAATATCATGTTTCTGGCTGGGTGCGCCGCCACCGATACCTACCATCAGCCCAATACGCACATTCGGAAAGCTATGGAGCATATCTCTAGCGACCGTTGCTGCCGAGGTGGTGCCATATTGGCCGTTAGGTAAGGTAGCAATAACGACGTTATGACCGCTAGCCTTGCCTAAAACATAGCTATTGTTATCGTGTCGTGCGGTTTGTCGCGGGCCGGCGTGTTCCTCGTCAAGGAACGCTTGGGCGGCAACAAACTCGGCGGTAATGGCGCAGATCCAACCGACTGTGTATATTTGAGGATCAGACATAGCTGATGTCAGGGTGGGAGTTGCATAAGTGATGGTGCGCGGGACTGTCTATGACGACGAGAGCAGTAAGATTGGAATGAGAGGGGAAATCGTTGGGTAGGCTCGGCGTGGTAGATGGGTGTCCTCCTTTCGATTTCTATAATAGGCTGACAGTTACCTCCACACAGATGCAGCTGGGCTTATTAGCATACAAGAGCCAATTAGAGAGTTGTCTCAATGTGTAAGCGCTGCGGCTATACGGCTGGGCAAGAATTTCAGGGGTCTTCCAACATGCACAGCCACCTTTCAGCCGGCGAGGTCATCACCAACACAATGTGCAAGATTTTGCATAGAACATGGTCTTTTTGTCATTTGTCATTTAATCTCTAATGCCTCCCTTAAACTCCAAGGCGATGCGGCCAGTGGATATGTAAACAAAGAAAAGTGGCCAAGACGAGATTTCCCGAAATCCATCCCCTTCCCTGTACCTGTCCTTCATAGTTGTAAAGCCTTCACACCCCCTCACCGCAATAAGCCGAGCCACTATCTACGGCTCTTCAGCAGCCCCTGCAAATAACCCGAGAAAGCCTTTCTGTCCGCCGACGTGGACATGCACCGCATGAACTCGGATCCGTCAATGCCCAGGTGTGGGAACAACTGCGACTGGAGGTTCTGGATAAACATGTCTCCCGTCTTGACATAGATGGCCTGCTCAAGCCCAGCAATCTCGTTGAGCACCTGCTTGCTCTGAGCGTCCTTGTGCGGCCTGAAGTTCGGGTCCTGGAACACCTCCCAGCAGAGCGGGTGGAAGCGGTCGATCATGAACCGATCGAAACCCGGGATGGATGGGTTGGCCGAACCGCTCGGGGGCGAGGGATTGTCCGAGATCTTGGCGACGTCGGGGCCGCCCCAAACCACGACCATGCGCGCCAACACACTGAACGCGAGGCGACTAGGTCCAATGTTTTCGGCTACCAAGGTGCGTCCCAGGGTGAGAATGGAGGTGATCATTGTCTCGAAGAAGGCCTGGTTGGCTTCGCTGATGAAGACCGACTGCAGCTCGTTGTTGAGAATCACAAGCAGGAAGGACAAATATTCCCTGCGGAGCTCTCCGAGTTGAATCTCGTCGTCTGTGCCCGTCACCGGCTCCGACAGGCCGGCGAAGATTCTCTGCAGCAAGGGGGTGAGCAGCAGGTTCAGGACGTCATAAATCTCGGTCTTGAAGCCGAAGACGATCTGGTCCAGCAATCGCAGGAACATGGCCATCTCGTCTTTGGATGAGCTCTGTGAAAGGAATCCCTCGATCCACTGAGGGAGCTGAGGAAGCACTGCAGACCCGAGAACGCCGAGCAGCTTGCTGAACGAAGCTCGGCAGGCGGTGCGGATATCTGCGGAGCCGTTGAGCTCGCGGAGTGCAATTAGGATGGCTTCGGCAGCCCTCGAGAACTCATCAGAAACGAGCTTGTCTGGGGGAGGTCGTTGCTGAGCCGAGTTGCTGCCGGGAGTCCAGTCGGAGAAGCCGTGAGCCAGGCCGGCGAGGGCCAGGATGATGTGGTGGATTTGGAGGATGGCCTGGGCATCGCCAGCCTTCGCCTTGGGCAAGTGGGCTTCCATGTCACGGAACAAAGGAGACATCACCAGCCGGGCATAGTAGGCCTGTTTATCTGCGGGGGTGCTTCCAGTCGAAGCAATGCAGCCAATGGCCTCGAAGAGGAACAGTTGGCTGGTGAACAGGGCGTCCGCGGAGTGATCGGACTCATCTGAAGACATGTCATCGTCTCCGTTGTTTTCAGAAACCTCAGCCTTGATCGGGAGGAGGTCGCTAATGGCCTCAATGATGGTGCCGGCAACGTTGCCGACCTGAGCCCTGAGATACTTGACGAATCTCAGGAAGAGGTACCAGGATCGTGTCTTGATACGAACATGGTCATGATGTACCAACCGCACAAAGTTCTCGAGGACTTGCGGGATGTATTCTTGCCGGGCATCAAACACTTGCCAATATCGGACACAAATCTCCATGTACTGGAGCAAAATGGCGGGGTGGGGGAACTGAGCAATTCCTACTGGGGTCAGTTTGATGTCACCGGAAATGAAGGGCTGATGACTTACCAGACTCGACCATCTTTGTCACCATGATGGTAAGTCTTTCTGTTGCTGTGCTGTTTGGTTGGCTCTTCGTGCCCAGCCCCTGGTTCGGCAGCGCCAGTTCACCAAATAGGTACATCTCATGAAGCGCTAGGTCAAGGTCTCTCCAGTCCACATTGGAGCCCCGCTGATCGAGGTCAGTAAAGGTATGAGAAACCAGGTTACTCAAGACCTCAATGTAAAGGTCCTGGTCCACGGCCGCAACAGTCTTTTGAAGAACCTGTAACCTCTTGCGCAGCTCCTGGAACTCTGCCTCATCCGTCTGCTCGTCCTCGTCACCCCAGTTGGAGGTCTCATCGTACCGCATCTTGAGGATAATGGCATTCAAAATGGGAGGGAGCATCTCCTTGTAAGAGGGAGGAAGGTTTGCGCCGACCTTGCGGAGGAGAGTGAGGAGGTCGGTGAGCGAGGAAATGACGGTCGCGCAGACCTCATCGTATTCGTCGGAGAAGAAGCGCAACAGAAAGGGGAGGAAATCGTGCAAGTGCTGCTCGGCCTTGGCTCGTGTGTTCTCATTTGCCTGCCCATCCTCTAGTGCGCGCACAATGTCTGCCATGACGGTGTTGACGAGCTTGGCGACAGCCTCCGCGAGATCGGTGTCGTATTGGGGGGTATTCTTCAGGTCGGCCAGAGGGGCGCTGGCGATAAGCTGGGACACGATGTCGCGCAAGTTGAGGAAGGAAATGAGCTCCATCTTCTCGGGGCCCTTCATCTTCTTGCCCACAATCTCGGTGAGGGTGTCGATGGCAGCATCCCTGACCTTATCCTCGCTGCCGGAGTTGTTTGTCCGGCCAATAACAGGAAGCAACAGGCCGAGCATGTCTTGGTTGACAATCAAGGAGATGTCCATCCAGCTAATCCACTTGCCAATAACCTTCAGAACCATCTCCACTATGTGATCGTTCTGTCCCGAGTACTGTGACAGCAAGTCCTTCCAGGACTGGGCAACCTTTTGAACATCGCGCGCACGCAGCTGGTCCTTCAGGTCGGTGTTGCGCTTCGCGTCGTTGCTGTTGCGGGTCAACAGCATGTCGGCGATCTCGTCATGGATGGAGCCGAGGATTCGCAGATACAGGACGACGCCGGCGGTGTTGTTCGGACTGCTGGCAACGGCAAGAAAGTCGTCGATGAAGGAGTCCCAACCGTCGTTGTACAAGAAGACGAACAAGTACGTGAGGGTCTGCGACAGCTTGTTCTGCAAGTGGGCCGGGTCGATCTGGTCTTGCTGGGAGCCATTGTACATGTTCCGGACATAATCGAGGAGCATGTCCTTCAGCCATGTGAGGCTCTGGCGGTCGAGACCTTGGGCATGGACGGCATAGTTGACCACCTCGAGGCAGAACAGGCGAACGACTTCGGAAGGTCTCGGAGTTCGAGCGAAGAGGGTGGTGCAGACCTGCCAGGCCTGGGGATCGACTCGCAGCTGGTTCAGGTACTCGAAGGCTTGTTGCTTGAGGTCTTGGTTGCCGGTGGGGTTGAACGCTGCTTCAACAGCGTTCTCGATCTGAACGAGGTCGGGTCAGCTCAGGTCAAATCATGGTAGTCATCGCCTGGTTTGCAGGGTTGCTGAAGCGGGGAGGAGTGGGTTGCCGTGGCAGACGCAGTCAACAAATATCAACCGCGGTCGGCGGAGGTTAGGCGGTGGTGGGAGGATGCGGTGACGATGCTGCTGATCCAAAATGGCGGGGCACCAGACGAGGAGGCCATATGTTTTTTTTTTGCTATGGCAGCCCAACCACGAGCTACTCGACAATCGCACATGCGCTGCAAACGTACCTGAGCGTCCATATTCTAAGCAATGTGGCTCAGAGACGTCGGATGGAATAAATATCGCGGGTAGAAAAGTCAAAGGGCCGAAAAACTGGCTAATTCTTTTTTGGTGCAAATGTGCTGCTATAATTCTGGCAGCGCTTGAAGCTGTGCATTCAGCATTCTTGCTCGACGTGGAAGCGGCGACGCAGCTACTGGAGACCCATGGCCCGGTTCGGATCGATACGTTAGGCAGAGGGAATTGGTGATCGGATGCGTTGGGAGGTTCAATGTGCACACACACGAGGGGTACTTTGGTCGGAGACGAGCACGAGGCGGGCCAGCGAGTGTCGGCGGGGAGCAGGCGATATGCAGTTCTTGGCCTTGGGGGCGATGGCAGGTGGTAGGATGATCGAGCAGAGACAAGAGGAGGAGTAGGAAGAAGGTTGTGCAGTGGTGCAAGGCTGAGGGGATATCGTAGGCTAAGGTAGTCGACCGGGTAAGGTCCAACTCCAGAGGTGGCAGGTGGTGTCGCTGCTCGCCGCCCTTGTGTTTTTTTTTTTCTGCATTCACAGGCACAATCCAAAAGTCGGTAGAGTGTGTAGTGCACTTCTGTCTCGTGCACAAGTGGGGTCGATCAACTCTTGGTCTGTGAGGTCAAGGTTCCTTCCACTTAAACTTCCATAACCCACTGCTGAAGGTCACCATCCAGCGGCATGGAAATGGCTACGGATGCTTCCAGCTTCCAGTCTGCAGAGCATTCATGCTCCTCCTTGAGGCCACCTCGCTTTCCGCGTTCCTGCCAGGTGGTGTCATTCTCTGTACGATGCCTCGCCTACCTGGGTAATGTACCTAATGGAAGCAAGGTACCTTCTACCCTGAGGTGAATGGAAGCCCGAGAGCCAATTTGGCAGGAGGGGGTACAGGGCCTTGCCGTGCCCAACGGTGGACAACGCCAGCAGATGTGTTGGCGGGTGGCTGCCATGGAGGGGAAGGGCGGGGTTCCTGGCAATCTGGACCCCCGTCCATTTCCCGGCCAATTGTCGGCCAAGTCTCCGGCCAAGGCCAAATTATCTTTTCCTTCCGGCACGGCAGACAAAACACCGACGAGAGGCAGCACAAAC